CGACAATTGTGCTCACGTATTGGTCAACGGTAAATTCAATGCTACAGATAATGCACTGATTGATTATGAACTTCAGAAGGGGATAACAACATACTTGCCTTAGTCATTGCCGCTCGCGCTCTAGACGGCCGAATGGCGACCCAACGCGACTGAGCGCTGCCCCCATAAAGCAGCCAACGCGGCTTATCCATGGCGTAGGAAGGCCCTTGAGTGCAGGCTATAGTATGTGGAGGCGGTAAAGGGTCAACGTTGTTCCAAGTCAGTTGCGTTGTTGCCTTGAGACGAGCTGTTTGAACAGTAGAGAGGCCAACATCTTTGAATACATCAAGAATTCCAATCTCATACAAATCTGCAAGCCAATCACTCTCATCCAGACCATTTTGAAATCTGCAATCCAAAATCTTGCTCTGTTTCCTCTAGAAAACACTGCTTCCGAGCTTCCTTTATACGCAGAGCAGCTTCGAGGGTAGCTGCTGTCAACTTACGAAGCTTTTGAACATCAATTTCCCCCCTAGATGGTTGATGTTTTCTTGCCCCAAGTGGTTTAGTGAAATCCTTGCTAGCCACTCTATGGACTCCTAGTTGAGTATCATCCTTAAGGCCTTTAGCCTCTTGCACAGCCTTGATCTCTTGTGCTTGACCATCAACATAAGAGCCCTTTAATGGTCCTTTGCATGTACCAGAGTTCAGAATCTGAGGGCTAACATTGGCTTGAACTGAGGAGATGTCCTTTGTAGCCACTCCACAGACTTCTAGTTGCTTATCATTCTTAAGGCTTTTAGCCTCTAGTACAGCTTTGTTCTCTTGTCATTGACTATCAACATAAGATCCCTTGAACGGTCCTTTGCATGCACCAGAGTTCTGAATCTGAGGGCTAACAATCGCTTCAACTGAGGAGAGTTGTGCTACACTTTCTAAAGAAAGGTGCAGAGAGAAAGGCAGTACCTGGAGGGGAAATATATTTCAACCTATGTTAACAGCACATGAAAGAAGATTATGTTTGTGCAGCAGAGGACAGAGCCAATTATTTTGGCTGTTACAAGCCGATGTTTGCTACTATACTAACTTGTTCACTCATATTTTAATCCGTCAAGGTGATTGACAATGACAAAACACATGCACAAACTTTAGAACCCCATTAAAAAATCATAAGCACATTTGACATGAAGAAATACACAGCAAAAGAAAAAAGTGGACAACAAATCAACACATGAAGAATACATACCAAAGTGGATAAATATAAACTCGTGAGTTTGGATCCTCTTTTATTTTTCCACTATTAGCATAAGTAGATCCTCTTTTAGTTGGCTACTATTATTGTTAGCTTAATTTTTTAACACGATTGGATGCATGTGCCCCAACTGCCAAAGAAGAAAATAGTTGCTGCAGCGAAATGCTGCAGCGAAATGTTGCAACTGCATCTATACATAATATTTAACATCTTTGGGCTATCTAGAACACCGCACAATTCATACTATGAAGAAATACATTGTTGAATCCTTTATGGGTTCATTTCTTCCAAAAATTTAAGATGCATTGTGAACATTCTCATCAAATAGAGTGGAACCACTCACCTTTTTCTCTAAGCTCAGTAAAATTGATCTCTGCAAGTCGATCTCTTCACTTCCAGTATATGCACAAAATATCATTCTGAAATAACATTCGGATGTGTTTGCTATTTCATAAATCTTCCTCCAGTCTCCATTGTTGTATTTCTGAAATAACCATGCTGCACAAAGAAACACTAAGTTATGCGGTCATTCAAAGTACACCTCGAATCGGATCTATCACCTATTGTAAACAAAAAAGCATCATCCCTCATATTCTAGCATATGGCAAACACCTTTTGTATCCCTCTAATCGAATCTATCACCAACAAACTAAGAATTCAGGCCAGATAACTTAAATATCTCACTCTTGTCTTTCCGTGGATGGAACCAATGGCTCTTATATATATTTGTCCTTCAACTTACAATACTGCGTCAACAACATTTTTTTTTAAATGCTCCTGACAGAACAAGAAAGCCTAAACATGCAACTCTGTTGGTAGCAGTCAGCGTCACTGACACCATTGTTTTGATCACAAAAGATATAATTGACAAATTCAGTTTGCTGCTTTCCACTACCAACTGTATATTTCGCACACAAGTTCTTACCGGAGAATTGAAGTGTATTGATTTATGCACTCCTTGCTCTTGAGCTCATTCCCCCTCATCAAATTCTGCACTGTCCTCTTGCAATTGCCTTTGTCCCTTACAAGTGAATCATGCTCTTGCTTCAGCAACAACTACACTGGCTCCTTGGAGGCCATCCAGCGCGACAAAGCGGGATGGAGGACGACATCTGGATGCGCCACTCTAGATCTTCTTGGCGGCGGCGCCGCCAGCAAGATGGGCAGACCGTGGGGCCGGACGACGGAGAGGCGCTAGTGCGGGGCATGCGTGTCATGTGCCGCGGCAAGGCGAGGCGTTGCGGGCGGGAGGGTGGCGCTGACGTGAGGCGCGACCATCTGTCACAGCGGATGCAGTTGCGCAGAGGGAGCAGCATAGGGCGGCGAGGCGCCGACGAAAGAGAGGAAGCAACGACGGAGTCGAGGGCGGCGACCCGCTCGTAGGAGAGGACGGTGGCTAGATGGGAGAGGCGGAGGAGCGGCGTGCAGCAGCTGGCCGGCGGCTAGATGGGAGAGGCGAAGGAGGGGAAGAGGAGACGTGCGTGAGGCGCTCGGGGGGAAGTTACAGCGAGGATGAAAAGGTACGGGATTAAGTGTGATGCGTGGGATTAGTGGATCGTTGTTGCGCTCAAACACGTGGAGTGGCAATGGTGGGTAATTAGAGCGTAAAACACGTTTTATAGATTGAAGCGATCTAGACCATCAAATCACATTATTTGATGGATGAGATGAATTGGTTCTCCGCGCTTTCGTGCTTTTATAGGGGTAGTAGATGCAGATTCGTGTTGCTTTTTTAATCCATGTGTATTTATGCCGACTACAAAGTATTATTTATTTCTTACTGTTACATGATCTTGGTACATGGTTCTGACTTTTAGTTGAATTGCTGTATTGATAGGGAGCTAGGCTCAACAAGTTCTATGAATCATGGGAGGACAGCCCCGACATTGGTTTCGTCATGATGAAGGTATGGTGCTTCATCATTTGCATGATACTAATGGCACTAGACAAATCTAAGCTGAGGTGTGTATTGCATGAAGGGCAGCGGCCGAGCATTCTGTGCTGGTGGGGATGTTGTTGGATTGCGCCAACTTATCAATGAAGGTAAGTGGGCAGACGTTGTGCATCATTTAATTACATTTCTTTGTTAAACATGGTAATTGCTTCCATTATATAGGGAGCACCGATCAACTTATTAAAGTTTCTAGTACGTTTACATTAGGAAAGTAAAAGCGGCTATGATAGCGGAACTCCAATTTTTTTCACACATTCTTCATTTCCTTTTGAAAGTTGGTCTAAGAAACAGCAGTTTTTTATTGCATAAATAGAGTACATATATTAATTTCCTGACACCAAATCTTCCTAGTGGAAATTTATATGCAGCGATAACCTGTTTTAGTCATATGCCTCAGTATTTCCTTTAATGTTAACCTTGTCTTATGTCGAATTAGGCAAGCTGGACGAGTCTAAAGATTTTTTCAGGACTTTGTACAGTTTCATCTATGTTCTAGGCACATACTTAAAACCACATGTAAGTACACAAACTCATTTTCTAAAATTGGACATTTCGTCTTGATATTTTTGGATAATCAGCTGGTATCACGTTTATATTGCAATATAGGTTGCCATTCTTGACGGTGTTACTATGGGTGGTGGAGGAGGCGTTTCCATTCCTGGAACATTTCGTGTTGCCACTGATAGAACAGTATGTCAATTGTTTTTGCTTGATTTGCTTTTATTAAGTTGCTCTTAAGGAGCCTGGTATCATAGTGCAGTAATATTTCTGTCTAGACACTTCATTAATTCAATTATGCGTTTATGAAATTGCAAAGCTGGGTATTGACAACTATAAATCTGTGCATAATTACTATTTTCAGGTGTTTGCCACTCCAGAAGTACATATTGGCTTTCATCCAGATGCTGCTGCCTCATTTTATTTGTCACACCTAACTGGTCATGTTGGTTAGTTGTTCAATGTTCTTATTAGTTCCCTGCAGTTTGTACTAGTTTAATGTTGTCCCTGGTTTGTGTTTATTCTATGTTGTAATGTAATATAGAAACATACAATCATTCTTTTAATTATGCATTTGCAGGGGAATACCTGGCCTTGACTGGTGAAAAACTCAATGGAGTTGATATGCTTGCACTTGGCCTTGCCACACACTATTCAATTAGTGAGGTAAGATCCTGCCGACTAAACCATGTATTTTTTATTTCTTGTTTTGTAGTTCTACTCTGTTAGCAAATTAATTGACCAACCTTACGAGTTGCGTTTCTTGTGATAGCACCTGGATCTGGTTGATGAACGACTTGCAAAATTGGTTACTGATGATCCTTCAGTTATTGATTCTTCCCTTGCACAATACGGAGACCTTGTTTATCCAGATAAGACAAGCATTGTACATAGGTAAGCCATGGAATGACCGTACAAGTGAACATAATTCTAGTCTAAACATTGATCTGGATAAATATTTTACTATGCCATTGATCACTTTTAGTACCGCAACCTATGAAGTCGTCCTCTAGCTTGTTTGGTTCATAATGTTTGTGAAGGAAAACTGTG